AAAAAAAAGCAAAGAGGAATAATGAATTGAAGGTAGCAAGGGAGGCGAAGTCAAACCCCAAGGGATTCTTCCAAATGTATCAAATAAAACACGAGACAAGATTAGACCAATGCACTCAGATACCGGCGAGCTAACTGATAACGACGGAGAAATGAGCAATAATCTGAATAAATGTTTGTCAACAGTTTTCACAACAGAGAATTTAAGCATACTAGCGAGATAGTAGTGACTAGTAATGATGTTAGTAAACAAATAGACAAACTAAAGCCTAGTGAGTCACCAGGTCCCGATGAAATAAGTACCAGCGTACTAAAGGAATGTAAGGAAGAACTTAGTATGCACTTAGCAAATTTGTTTAAGATGTCATTAAAAGCGGGTGTAGTACCTGAATCAGTTTAACATAAACTGTAGAGCAAATTGCTGGAAGCCATAAATTCAAATTCTATTCGAAATCACCTCCAGAAGCACATGTTGAGCAATGATTCCCAACATGGCTTCACAAGTGGGTGTTCATGTCTGACAAATTTTTTATCATTATTTTCAATTGACAGAGTTCCCCACGAAAGACTACTACGACAAATGGAAGCTCATGGAATTGGAGGAGATATTCTAAAATGGACTAGGACGTGGTTACAGGACAAGATACAGAGAGTAAACATTAACGGCACTAAATGCTTTTGGGGTAACATCACTAGTGGAGTACCCCAAAGTTCAGAACTTGGACAACTGCTATCTAATATATACATAAATGACATAAATATAGGAGTACTCAGCCACATAAGTAAATATGTTGACGACACTAAAATAGGGCGTCCAATTAAATCTGACGAGGACTCTGCAAAAGTATAAAATCATCTAAACAAAATTTTCGCATGGCCCGAAAAATGTCAGAAGAAATTCAATGTGAACAAATGTAAAGTACTTAGTCTAAGATATGTAAACAGAGAAATCAGATATAAGATGAACAGCGTTGATATAGAGAAATCCGACTGTGATAAAGATTTAGGAGTAATGATATGTAGAATCTTAAACCTGACAACAATGAGTATTTGCTTGAAACTATGCTAACAAAGTACTTGGGTTCATACAAGGGAGTGTTAGTTACAAGAATAGTGAGGTCTAAAACTATATCTTGAGCTTGTGAGACCTCACTTGGATCACGCAGTTCAGTTCTGGTTACTGTATTACAGAATGGACATAGAATCGCTAGAAAGCATACAGAGGAGAATGACAAAACTAATCCCGCGCAATTGGAACATTCAATACAGAGACAGATTAAACTTAATTTGCACTTAATTTGGCTTTAAGGTACAGGACCTCTGCCCCTCACAGACTTGACCTCATCAGTTCACGGGTCGAGACATGTCCAGACTCCCTCGAGAGACGTAGAGTGAGGGGAGATATGATCAAGGTGCATAAATGGAAGTCAGGGTTAAACAAAGGTCATATAACAGAGGTACTTAAACTATACATCCAGGAGCGAACTCGTAGCAATGGTTTTAAATTAAACAAATTTAGATTAAGGTGCAAGATAGGTAAACACTGGTTACGAAACAGAGTAGTGGATGAGTGGAACAAGTTACCAAACATCATCAATAACTCTGACACGCTGGATAGCTATAAATGGCTTCATATATAGCTTGGGCAGATATATGAGCGATATGGGTTGGGTGTAAACGGGACTGCAGCGGTTCATGAGGCCCGCTGCAGTTACCTCCTTCTCTTGTTCTTATGTGTTTGACAGTGACAAGTCGATGCCCTGTGGTCAGAGGTCACGGCCACCCCGACCTGGTGGTAGAGCGGTACCGCTCTTGCCTGGCAAGCGAGATGTCACGGGTTCGATTCCCGGGCCGGTGGAAGTTGTTTGGACATACTTCCTAGCCCCCATTAGTCCCTGTTCACCTAGCAGTAAAGTAGGTACCTGTTGTAAGTCGAAAGTTACGAATTCGTATTCAGGGAAAGTTATTGGAGCTTCCAATAACATGATGACATAAACCATTGACTCTTCAGGCTTCTACGCCCTTGACTCATGAGACATAAAGGCAAGCATGAACTTAGCATGCTTCCCTGTTGGGCGCTGTAAACGCTTCTGCGCTTCACCTTACACAAGGATGTAGGGGGGTGCCCAATAAAAAAAAAATCATCCCCATTTGAGATATAATACATTTCATCGACACTAGGAGAGAAACGAGGGCTCCCAACTCCACCAGGGAATGTGAACAGAGGTACAAACCGAAGATCAAGATTGTACCAAGATGTGAAACCTTCTCTACGGTGTGAAAGGCGCCATTATTAACTCCCTTGACAGTTTACAAGACCGGCTGCCCTACGATATATGAGATTACTTCCATATGTGTAGTTAATTTGTATGTTCACTCCATGTTTCTTCTCTTTTTATACTGTAAGCTTCTTTCAATTAAGTGACCTACTCTGCATTCTCACTTTAGGTAATCTTTATCAAATGCTTGCTGTTTATAATCTGGCTAGCCATGCCCTCAATATATATATATATATATAAATATATATATAAATATATATATATATATATATATATATATATATATATATATATATATATATATATATATATATATATATATATATATATATATATATATATATATATATATATATATATATATATATGTTGTTGCTATTTATCCGATAACCCTAAATAATTAAATAAATCCCATAGACTAAAAAGTACAGTTTATCCGTTAGGAACCTATTATTTGGCGTAAATATAGCCTAATGTTACAGAAAGAGGTGACATAATCCACACACTTGATAACCTAAAATGAAGTGCTGAAAGTGTCCACCACCCACCATGTTGCAGCCATAAATTGATTCTTCGCAGCTCTCCGACACAGTGTATCACATATTTGGGGAATATTGCTGATTATGTCACAGATGAATTATTGCTTTTCATTAACCAAGGGTGCGTGGATTTATATATCCCCACAAAGAAATCTTGCGGTGTAAGAGTTGGGGATCAAGGTGGCCATAATATCTTTGACACTACACAGTCACCAAAGAGTAGCCTATGGTTGTTAACGCTGTATCGCGGAGTGTGACTTATGGAAACCATCTTAATGAAAGCAATCTTGGTTGATATCGTCATCTGTAAGGTGCCCACGAAACTCTTAGATAATATTGATGTAAAGTTCTGAGCTGACAGTTTCTGAGAAGAATATTGGGCCAATAACTAGGCTATTTGCCGACTGCAAAAAAGAAAAAAAAAGAAAACATAACATCCAAAGCATTGTGTTGACCTCTTACCAACCTCTGTAGCCTCTCACGGTATAGGCAACACATCTTGACCTCTTACCAACCTCTGTAGCCTCTCACGGTATAGGCAACACATCTTGACCTCTTACCAACCTCTGTAGCCTCTCACGGTATAGTCAACACATCTTGACCTCTTACCAACCTCTGTAGCCTCTCACGGTATAGTCAACACATCTTGACCTTTTACCAACCACTGAAGCCTCTCACGGTATAGGCAACACATCTTGACCTCTTACCAACCTCTGTAGCCTCTCACGGTATAGGCAACACATCTTGACCTCTTACCAACCTCTGTAGCCTCTCACGGTATAGGCAACACATCTTGACCTCTTACCAACCACTGTAGCCTCTCACGGTATAGGCAACACATCTTGACCTCTTACCAACCTCTGTAGCCTCTCACGGTATAGGCAACACATCTTGACCTCACCACCAGCCTCTCGAAGCCTCTCACGGTACTAAACCTTACGTCTCAGTCTCTGCAACCTCTGTGGCCTCCTCACGGTATAGCAACACGTCTCGGTCTCTACCAACCTCTGAAGCCTCTCACGGTATAGGCAACACGTCTTGACCTCTTACCAACCTCTGAAGCCTCTCACGGTATAGGCAACACGTCTTGACCTCTTACCAACCTCTGTAGCCTCTCACGGTATAGGCAGCACGACTTGGTCTCTTACCAACCTCTGAAGCCTCTTACGGTATAGGCAACACGTCTTGACCTCTTACCAACCTCTGAAGCCTCTCACGGTATAGGCAACCCGTCTTGGCCTCTTACCAACCTCTGAAGCCTCTTACGGTATAGGCAACACGTCTTGACCTCTTGCCAACCTCTGAAGCCTCTCACGGTATAGGCAACACGTCTTGACCTCTTACCAACCTCTGAAGCCTCTCACGGTATAGGCAACACGTTTCTCTTTATTCGGGTCCAGAAACTGATTCACTGCTTGAATTTTGTAGGGTAAAGTTTGGCTTGACCACCTTCTGCTTCCTTGCGGAAATAGATCATTAACTGTAAGTGAGATGAAAAAGCTTCTTTATCTAAGTCACATGTTTTGCAGTATAAATACTGCATCCAATAATCATTAGTAGAAATTCTTAAAATCGTTTGTTATAATATTATTTGCAATAATAAATTGTAGCAAAGCAAAAAATTGCCAAAAAATATAGATGCTAATATTATATTTAGCAACATTACAAATTTGCAATAACATAGATATTTATTGTTATATTAATTAGGGATAATTATCTAATAGCGATAATTTATACGTATTTCGTCTTTTTAATCCAACTGGCCATAAACATCACATAGATTATTATGACACATGTAAACGGACAGTTTCACAGAACCGACATTGTAGAAGCTTACTTAACACTAATTTTGCTATTTTATGATGATAAACGACGTGCTAGATAAAATAGAGCACATTTTATAGTTTAAAAATTAATATCCATTATGTTGAAAAAATAAAAAGTTATCCCTCTTTGTGAAACACGCTAGTTCATTGTTATAGCCTAATCGGCGATTATCCCTGTTTAGAGTGATGTACGGATACATATATCAGGTTTATTGCACTACCGATAAACGATTTTTTTTTCAATTTATAAATACCAAGTATCGTGGTGTGAGCTCAGCATGACGTCAAAAAGTTCCACGTGTAACTCGTCCCTACCCGCTCCCGCTCATAAATACTCCAGACTAACACTAGTGGTGGACACTTGCTTGTGGCCGCCAGCGGAAGTACACTGTGAGTATTGTGCTCAAGACACTGTACATCATTCACTTTTACTTTGTGAATATTTTGTAAATGCTTTTCAAACTAAAAAAGTTTATAATATATATATATATATATATATATATATATATATATATATATATATATATATATATATATATATATATATATATATATATATATATATATATATGCTGATAACGCTTCTGTATTCACATCTTCAGGGTGACAGAGAGAGAAAACAAACCATTGGTGTATGTATAGAGGAGTGGTGACTGGTCCCAGTGGTCAGGTATGGTAATGACTTACTAATCTTAACAGTTGTCAGAATACACAGACTCGACTTTCTGAATAATGTTTTAATAACTAGCTTGTACATGCTGTTACTCAAATTCATGTTGAATGCTTCGGTATGTTTAATAAGACATGAATTTGAGTAACGGCATGTACAAGCTGGACAATTTTGTAATTAAGAACATTTGTAACCAGGTGAGAAGGTCGGGTCACCTGACCATCTGACCTGACCACCAACCGTTGTGTGCTATTTAAAGATTAGTAGGGTCATTACCTAATACCTGACCATTGTGGACCTGGTCTCACCCTCCTCTGTATATATACACCTTGGTTTGTATTTCTTTAGTCTGTACTCACCCCTGAAGATGTGAATTACACGAAAGCGCTTGGGAACTTCGTGTTTTCTTTCCTTGTGGTTATCAGCATATACCTAGATCACGCGCACCGACAGTGATTTACTTGCATATATATATATATATATATATATCGGTAAAATAGGGAGAATCGTCCAGATGGAGCCTAGAACTTACGTGTGCGGCGACAAACCGGGGCTTAATTTATGTATTACCGATGTGAATTGTAATTGTTTCATATATGGTAAACAATTTGTTTCATATAAGAAAGCGTTTATTTACTAACATAAAATGATAAATTTTACCTAAATAAAATAAGGTAATATTATTGTTGGGTAAGTTAAATCAATTAATATAGTAATGATTCTGTTCATATATAGTTTATATCATGATTATATGTAGAGTACTTCGTTTATTAACGGAAAAATATTAAATTATCCCTATTTCGCAAGTATCCCTATTTATCGAGACGTATATACTACTGCTTACGGGGACCCTATTGTTTATGAAAAATAATTCCATGACTCGTGAAAATATAAGGTAAGTGCAGGTCAACCTTTTGCGATATCGATCTCCCAATCTGGAATCTGAATAGTGCTTAATAGAATTAACCAGATTGTACTAATAACAGAGTAATAAAGTCAACCCTATGATAAAAGTAAAGCAAATATAGCAGGTAATAATACTAATACTACAGTACTTTTAGTACTAATAATGAAAATAATATTAATAGGTGTGTGAGTTAACTAAACCAAAGCATTTCCTTCGGAGTTGCAGGGTCCTCAGACAACCAATGAAAGAACTGCTTTTGAATGTACATTTGTATAGTAATAACTACAGTAAATAATACGGTCCAGAAAAATGGAAATGAAAAGAACGGACAAATGACTAAACAATCATATATAAAAATAATACAATTCCTTTATTGTGATTATTCTTTTTCAATAGTTGTACCTACAGTCTCATGCTCGTGATTTTAAATAATAACAAAGATTTAATTCATTACAGAAATATAGAATACATATTAATATACTAACAACAAGACTTTTTCAGTACAGACACATGCAGTGTACAGTACATCGCAAATATTTTTGACAGAGCCGCATGAAGAAGCTAAAGCTGAAGAAACGACCTGTTTCAGCAGACCGCGCTAAGATTGTGTGGCTGTGGCAGTATGGTATGTCAGCTAGAGAAATTTCCCTTAAATCACAGACCAGCGTGTCCACCGTGTATAGATGTATACAGCAGTGGAGGCAGGAGGGTACAGTGGAGAGAAGACCTTACCGTAAAAAGTTTCACCAGAATTCATGCGAGGAGAATACGCTTGTGTCTCAACACCAGTCCCTGGCAGCAACAGTTGATCCCTCCCGCAGTCATCAACTCATCTACTGCTCCAAATATGTAGAGAATTGGTTACTGACGCAAATTCAGCATTATTCAAATATTCTCTGTCAGTATGTACGAGAAGAGAGACTGAGACGACCATGTGTAATTTAAAAACATTGATCTGCTGTATATAAAGAAGTAATCGTCTACGAGTGAGAGTTTGATTTACAACACTAGAGTGAATAAAGGTGAATGATTATGAGTGTAGGCCGCTGGTGATGAGGTGAGTCATGAAGTATGACTCACTAGGTATGAGTGTAGGCCGCTGGTGATGAGGTGAGTCAGGCAGTATGACTCACTAGGAATGAGTGTAGGTCGCTGGTGATGAGGTGAGTCAGGAAGTATGACTCACTAGGTATGAGTGTAGGTCGCTGGTGATGAGGTGAGTCAGGAAGTATGACTCACTGGGTATGAGTGTAGGTCGCTGGTGATGAGGTGAGTCAGGAAGTATGACTCACTAGGTATGAGTGTAGGCCGCTGGTGATGAGGTGAGTCAGGAAGTATGACTCACTAGGTATGAGTGTAGGTCGCTGGTGATGAGGTGAGTCAGGAAGTATGACTCACTAGGTATGAGTGTAGGTCGCTGGTGATGAGGTGAGTCAGGAAGTATGACTCACTAGGTATGAGTGTAGGTCGCTGGTGATGAGGTGAGTCAGGAAGTATGACTCACTAGGTATGAGTGTAGGTCGCTGGTGATGAGGTGAGTCAGGAAGTATGACTCACTAGATATGAGTGTAGGTCGCTGGTGATGTAGTGGATGCAGAAGTAATCTTTACATTTTGCCATGATATTTCATAGTTCAAGCTTTGTGTTATATGAGATAGAGAATATTTCTGTATAGGGACAAATTATTATCTGATACCATGTTTATATATCCAGAGAGAATTTTGTAAAGAGGCTAAATATATATGTTTTTGTTATTAATATTGTAGTAAGTGTCACGGAGTCAATATATGGTGAACCAGCGAGGTTTCGGTGATATTAGACTGAGAAAAAGCTTACCTTGTAGGGCAGGGAAGGTTATTTAAACTGATATTAACTTGATTTTTTTTAATAATTCCCATAATACAGATAAATTGGAGAAAATCAAATTAAATCAAATAAAGTCGAATTTAGACTCATTATAAATCTTCTCGTTATTTGTATATAGCACAATTATAAAACGCCCTTTGTCTTAACATATTCATAGATTTGTTGCCTACATGAAATCCATCAACTGTGTGGTAGGATTGCTTATTTTATACGCTTATGTTACTGTGTTCACATGATGTAGTTATTTTCTATGTTGTACGATGTGGGTCGGTGACCTGTGCCCGGGTGGACTGATCCCAATTAAAAAAACAAGAAAACTTGGAGCACTGTTAGCCTAAGCTATGAAGCCTCATAGCCACATCTTGGTTCATTTAAGATGTTATTACTTATGATAATATGTTATGCATTTAGTGTCGCTCGACTTAATGTTTGTAATTCAGTTATCTTAAAATTAAATATAAAGATCATTTCCTTTTAATCCTTAAACTCATAAAAATTTACAATATATATATATATATACATATATATACATATATATACATATATATATATATATATATATATATATATATATATATATATATATATATATATATATATATATATATATATATATATATATATACATATATATATATGTAACCGGTCGGAATTTACTGGACTTTAATTTCTCACTTGACTTGGGGTTTATTAAAATTTAATAGATGGTAATGGCAGTGGAAGCGCCCCTTTGAGAAAAATCCCGAACCAGCACAAGAACACTTAAATCTACTAAACAAAATGAATTGTCCGTGACCCGTGGAAGGATAGCGTCTGTGACTGGGATGAATGAGACACACTGTAAAATTTAGACACTTATATTCCCTCCAACACTACAAACACAATCAAATAATGGTACACCAATATGCGCACCTCTAAACTTAAACTTAAAACACTACTCTGGGGAATAAAAGTTATACATGATATAGAAATTATTAGAAACACAGGCAACAATAAATTTGAAGTTTTAAGAAATGTTGCTTGCACACATGAACAGGCCTTAAGGGCTTTCACACAATAATATCAGTCACTTAGGAAATGGCATTAAAAAATAAGAAATTAAATACTGTACAATGAATAGGCCTTAAGGGTTTTCAACAAAATAATATCAGTCACTGAGGAAATGGTAATAAAAATTAAGAAATTAAATACTCTACAATGAATAGGCCTTAAGGGCTTTCAACAAAATAATAGCACCCCAACAGATGCACACTTCCTAACCTAACTTAACCACTACTCTGGGGAACAAGGTTATACCTGAGATCAGAATTATGAAGAACAATTAGATGCATTAAAAGAATCAAATCACAGCATCACTCTGGTTCCACTTAATGGCACAAACATTCAAAAACAATACTATCAAAATTATTTAGGACTATTAAACTACACACGTCAAGATAATATCAGTCTGAGGAATGGTGTTAACTACACCCGTAATAAGGAAGATAAAATGTTCCTCTAGGTATCTCCTAGAGTCCTAGACTCACGGTCTCAGTGTGTGACCATTAATATACTCAGATAGCCTCAGTGTACTCCCAGTGCGTCCATGGGCAGGAAGAGAGTGAGCCAATCAGACCTTGTGCAGTTGAGAGGAGCTTTAGCTTCCCGTTAGCAAGAGGGTTTCACTAAGCGGCTCGGGACATGTGGTGTTGTGAGCCGACGTCAGCTGGGCACCCAGACGGCTAGATTCCCTCAAGAGATCCTTTGGTACCCCGCTAAACAGTGACAGGCCTACTCTGATCGGTCCAATGGCGACAATCGCCACCCTCAATCATCAACGGCAGTCTCAAACGGCAGTCAATCTCTCGCAGTCAAACTCCGGTCAACTCCAGTCAACTCCAGTCAAGTGGGTTCTGACAGAAACCCTGAAATTAACTCACTGTTAGCTCTAGTTTACTTTACCACTGCCCTATCTAACCCTGTCTGAGATCGCATGAGACTTACTTGTTATACGGCAATAGCGCAACACAGGTGACTAGGCCACGTGACTATTTCTGTGACAGACGCGCAGGGACGTCTTGTTTGTGTGAATGCTTCCCGCGACTGAGACCTAGCCAGCGTCGCGTCTCCTCAAGGCGTTAGCTTAGGTCTACGTGACATATTTTCCGCCTAACTAATAACTCCTTGGGACACCCGTAACATTATTCAGACTGATAAACGATCTATAATAATTTCAAATTCAATAATAGTCCCTTACTTCATGAATCGCATCATTATTAATTCGGTGAATTACATTTAATATCATATAGGCCTAGTTCCGCAATCTCTCGCTATGAGCAGGCAGCGCTCTCTCCCCTCAGATGACCTTGAACGCTCAGTATCGCTAATGGCGGGGCATTTGAAATTACTCTGAAATTTCTGAATATTACATATATATATATATATATATATATATATATATATATATATATATATATATATATATATATATATATATATATATATATATATATATTTAACTTGTTCTGCACTTCTATTTTAGTCTGTACTCACCCCTGAAGATGTGAATTACACGAAAGCACTTGGGGACTTCGTGTTTTCTTTTTCCCTTGTGGTTATCAGCATATACCTAGATCACGCGCACCTACAGTGATTTACTTGCATATATATATATGAATGACAACACCCACCACATATGGATAAGAGCAACATTATTATTTGGTATACATCTTGACAATGTCTCTCGATATTAGACCTAAAACATGAAATAACCTTAGTATGCCAGCATGAGTGTCTTACGAACATACAGTATTCTTTATCAATGAACATCAAAACATTAAATTGTTAATCTTTTAAATTTACTATATATAAATACACAGAGCGAAATTGCAAAGACAAGCAGAAACTTAGAATTTATTACATCAGATGAATAAACAAAGAAAAGCAAATATGTTGTATACCTGGGCCCCAGCAATGACTCCAGGCTTATTGAAACCACCGGAGACTCCAGAACACTGAATTACTTATCCCAGCAATGTCACGTAGCGATTTAGAGAGGGATTACTCGATGATTACTGGGCTCTCATTATTCACCTGATGAGCAGAAGGGAGCGTGTTTTTAAATGAGAATAAACAAACATTATATAGTAATATAAAAGAAGACTGGAAGGAAAAGAAAACATCTACAATGACTTCACGGAAAATAATCCCAATTGTCCTTGAATCACCAGTCTCTTCTGGTGTGACTGTGCGTGTGTGTGTGTGTGTGTGTGTGTGAGTGTGTGTGTGAGTGTGTGTGTGTGTGTGTGTGTGTGTGTGTGTGTGTGCGCGCGTGAAGAGAGGGAGTATGGGGGTGTAGAAGTGTACAATATGATATGGGCAGGATTAAGTATATTGGACCATACTGAATCCAAATGTCCCTCCACATTCCAGAAAAAGATGGTGTCACTCTGCAATCATATAGTGATGATTGCTGCTATGGTTGTGAGCACTACTTCCGTATCGTTTGAAGATGTGATTGAACCCGTGGAGCAGGTAGGCGTGGATGTGGGCGTGATGGTGGGTCAGGTAGTGAAGCACCATCTCACCGGCTGTCACCTGGTGCTCATCACCACTACACAACACTCACACGTGTTCTCCAGTATAATAAGGTGAAACATATGTACTATTTCGTTTATGATACTGACGTATTTTATTTTCTGTTATCTTTATGTAGGTAACTACGCTTCCTTTGTTTTTAAGATTTTAGAATGCCTTTGGATTCTTATAATTCTAGTACCCATTTCTATAACATCTGATACAGCTGTTCGTTGAAAAGGGGATATATAAATAAGTTGAAAGTAAGTGAAACAAAGCTTCTTATTGGTTTCTTACGTCCATTTTTAAGTGATTCACAAAAGGCTTTAATTTGGTGATGCTACACTTTATAAGTGAACAATAATATAGATATTGTGAACAACGTGCACCCTGCTGAATTCTAGTAAGTGTAGTTCCATAATACACTCACGCCTCTAATGGACAGGTAACTCTATTTTATGCTTTAGTTGGCTATATCCCTAATATTATTTTAACCTATAATAGTGGCTATGGTTTGTGTCAATTGCCTCTACCATTGTATATCTTGATCAACTGATACCATACTTTACATAATCGTTTTATAGTGTTCCAGCAACCTTCCTGGTCGTCATCATATAGTTAAGTCAGCTAGAGCATTGTTGATGTCAGACTCTACAACGTGGAGTTTCATTTGCCCTATGCAGCTCAAATAATTGCTTAAATAGCCCCACTTGCCTGCTTGTTACAATAATGCTTCTGCTTCTGTACATGGTATTTACGATTAAAATTGAGTGTGAATGACAATATTGTTAACTTCCGTCTATCAGACACATGGGTGTGGGTGTGGAGGCTGGCGTGGTAGTTGAGGCAGGATGGGTGTTGTCCCAGGACCAGCTGACCCAGGACCACCTCCTGCAGGGGCTGTGGGGAGACGATAGAACTACCTGCTGGGGACTCATCCTTGATCTCACTAACAGCAACAGTAACGACACCTACCTTACCCTCAGGTAATAATTACAATAAAAAATCGCATTGTAAAGCGTAATCCCGATGTCACTAGGGCAGGGGTGGCGAACCTATGGTATGCGTGCCCAAGGTGGCACGCGAAAATTTTTTATTGGCAGGAGGCATGAACTGCCGCCCCAAGATTTTTTAAACTTCACCCATAATATTGCTGCGAATGAATTTTTACCAACCAGGAGCAGTGAGAAGCGTTCACAGGACACGTCTCATGCCAGTTTGGCGTCAGCTGGGCGGTTGCGAGAACACTTTACTTCGGATGACACGTTTTTAAATCCCTGCCGACCCAGTGTACACATCAGTATTCGGGTAACAATAGAAGTGAACGGTTGGCATTGGCTTCGCTCTGCTCATATTTTCCTTCAGTTGTTTGTGAGTGAACACTGGATATTTTGTGACATAGAAGAAAACGATTCATGTTTTTTTTACAAATTTCTCCTCACATTTAAATGACTTGAACACCAAATTACAGGGATCCTGCAAAACACTTGATGTTATGTTTGATAACATAACAGCCTTTGAAATCAAACTGAAAATTTTTAAAAGTGATATCGACAATAGCAATTTAAATATTTCCCAAACCTAAAAAAACACATGACTGATCTTGAAATTAATAAGAAAGCAGACATTCAGAGCCTTCAAATGCAATTTTTGAGCATCATTGATTCAACTACTGGACAATTTTCTTTAAGATTTACTAAGTTCAGGTCATTTGAAGAAAGTGCAAAATTCATAAACTGTGCAGCAGACATTGTAACATTAGACAAACTGAATTTGGAAATGTTGCAGTGGATTGATATGGATAATTTTGAGATACAATTGATTGATTTACAAAACAACTCAATTTGGAGGCAAAAATTTGTCGACTTAAGAGCTGAACTAGAAAATATTGAAAGAGATCGGTTAGTGACTGGATTAGCGCCGAGAATTGCAGTAAATGAGGTTCTGAAACTCTAGAATTCCATTCCTGAAACATTTGACTGTCTGAAAAATTTAGCAATGGCAGTATTAACAGTATTTTCATCTACATATTCATGTGAGTCATTGTTTCAGTGAAGAACTTTGTCAAGTCAAATTATAGGAGTTGACTTACTCATGAAACTAGTGCTGCATGCATAGCTCTCTTCACAACCAAATACAAGCCTGATATAACATATCTGTTGGTGCAGCAGCAAAAGTCTCACTCAGCAAAATTTGCTTATTTTCCTTTCCTTTATTTTTGTTTTGTTTTATAATATGAACCAAAGCTTTTCATTTCACTGTCAAATTTCATATATTGGTTATAAGGTTCAGTACTATTTATAAATGATGTTATTTTTCAATTGTCTTTTTAAAAATATTGATATTAATTATTTTCTGAACAGGCTTTTTCTAAAATGCTTTCATATAAGAACATAAGAAAGTGGGATACTGCAGGAGGCCGACTGGCCCATACAGGGCAGATCCCTTTCACACCCATCCCAGCACTTCCATGTGCCTATCCAACTTCGTCTTGAAGCTCCCTAGCGTCCCCGATCCTACTATAGCACTCGGTAGCCTATTCCACATATCCACAACTCTATTAACTATAGCACCTCGGTAGCCTATTCCACATATCCACAACTCCCCATTATCAAACCAGTGTTTCTGCTTCATATCCTTTCTGAATCGGAATTTATCTAATTTGAAATATTTGTTCTAGTTTATTTTGTTATTACTGAGCTTCAGAACATCTTCCATTTTACCCCTCTTTGCTAATCCCACTTACCCACTCTACACCTCTCATCATATCTCCCCACCGCCTCTCCAATGAATGTAAGTTTGCTTTTTTCAGTCTTTTCTTCATATGGAAGGTTTCTTTCAATATTATGGATCATTTTGTCATTCTTTCTTGTACTCTCTCCAAAGAATCTATGTCCATTCTATAAATAAGGACACCAGAATTGAACCGCATAATCCATATGTGTGGCCCTACCATTAAGTAGTAAAGTTTCAAGATAACGTCAGCAGTCTTGCTACTCACAGACCTAGATATGAACCCCCAAGAACTTGTTTGCCTTTGTTATGAACGCTAATATTACTTGTTTTCTTTAGGGTTTCAAGTCGTTAAGTGGGGCTCAAATACACACCGATCTTTTTTTCACAAACTGAGTTTCTTTATTTGTAAGTACCTAGTTTATAATTTCAACGTTTGTATTCGCTTCCATCTGCAGTACCTGCATTTATTATCAGTATTAAAAATTCATTTTGCCAGTCTACTGAATTACCAAGGTATTCTGATTCTTTAAAGTGTTCAGTCACTAGTCTGAATTTCTATCACTCTCCCATTCGTACTGCACTGCAACTTACTAATCTCACTAGTTATGCCTAAATCAAGATCATTAATGAATATAACAAACAGCAGAGGGCCTAATACAGATCCCTCGGGGAACTCCGCTTGACTGCACCCCAGTTCAATTTTAATCCATTTATGCTGGGACTCTTTTGTTTCCTACCAGCTAACCATGACCTAATCCATTTTGTAATACTGATCCACCTATTCCATGTGCTTTACCTTCCTTTATCATCAATCTCTCATGAGGGACTCTATCGAATGCTTTACTGAAATCTAAATAAAATTATATATCATATGACTTATCATTATCTACCGCTTCATATACTTCTGAGAAAAAGCTAAGCAAATTTGTGAGACAAGAACGTCCCTGGGTGAACCCGTGCTGAGAAGAATGAATTAAGTTGAATGTTTCGAGGTGGCTTCTGATTTTCGTAGCAATAATTGACTCTAGCAACTTGCCTATGATTGACGTGAGACTAATGGGACGGTAATTTGATGCAATTGATTTATCACCTTTTTTGAAAATCGGAACTACATTTGCAAGTTTCCAAGCTTCTGGCACTAGGCCCGATTCTAATGACTTATTAAATAAAACTGCTAATGGATTACTCAACTCATCTCTACATTCTTTTAATATTCTAGCATATACCTCGTCTGGACCAGGCGATTTATGAGGCTTCAGTTTGTTAATTACTTTAAGCACATCGTTACTAGTAATATTGATATTCATCAACATATTTTCTATACTGTCGTTATATACCTTATGAACTTCTGGAAACTGTGCTAGGTTTTCATTTGTGAATACTGAGCGAAAATGACTATTTAACGTACTACACATTTCTAACTCATCATCAGTCATTTCTCCTGTCGTAGTTTTTAGGGGACCTATTGTATCTCTAACCTTTGATTTATACAGTTGATAAAAAGCTTTGGGGGTATATTTCGATTCGTTTGCTACCATGATTTCATAATTTCTCTTTGCTTTCCTAATTTCTGTTTATACCTGTCTTGTTAGGTTCTGATAGTAACCAAGTAAGTGATTTTCGCCTTTCTTAACTTTTCTATATACTCCTTTCTTTTTCCCTAGAAGATCTAAGAGTCTATTATTCATCCATTTTGGTTGGTTCCGTAGTGATCTGAATTTTCTATTAGGGATGTGTTTATTTTGGGCATTATTGATTGTCGCAATAAATTGTTCATAAGTAGCTGCTAAATTAAATTCGGGGTTATCCCGTCCTAAGTTGACAGTTTCCGGAGGTGTGGGGGGATTAATCTTTTGACCATAGGGTCATCCCTTAGGTCTCTCCTTAAGCTACAGTAATTAGCCTTCCTAAAATCCGGGATCAAGGCCGAATTTTCCTTCTTCCTGCCATCCCACATTATGTTAAAATATATGGCTTTATGATCACTGTTTCCTAGTTCGTCTCCAATCCCAACATCTTTTACTAGATTTTCATTATTACTGAGAACTAAATCGATGATATTATTTCCTCTAGTGGGCGAGTTTATGAATTGATATAAAAAACTATCTTGTACTACTTCTAGAAAATCTTCAGATTCATTATCGCTAAGTTGATTTTTCCAATCTATGCCTGAAAAGTTGAAATCGCCTAGAATACATATATTGTTTCTATCAGATGCCTTCTTTATTTCCTCCCATAGCAATTTACCATCGTTCCTACTCAAATTAGGTGGTCTATATATGACACCAATGACTACGGATTCACTGCCCTCACCAATCTCTACCCAAATACTTTCATTGTCGCTATTTGTTTTAATGTTTGATTTATTGTAGCTTTTTAATGACACTGCTACACCGCCACCTCTCCTTCCTACTCTGTCAAATTTAAATAGGTTATATCCTGGAATATGAAATTCTGCTAAAAAATGCTTGCTGTTTGAATTTATCCATGTTTCCGTTATTTACAGTATATCTATGTTCTCTTTACTAACAATGGCCTGAGCTGGTCCGACATTTTTGTTACACAGGCTTCTACTATTAGTATAATAAACACTCAATATATTTCTTCCGTTTCTATCTGTTTACATTTATTACTTTGATGTTTGTTATTATGATAACTATATTTTCAGCATTATACTACTTCTGTTTCACTACTTCCCAGGACCTGCTTGTTTTGACTCCCATTTTCCCCGACCCCTCTCTGCTGGCGAGCCCCTTGATTGACAATTTCGCTCAGGGATGCAGACAACGTCTTTACCCCTCACGAGACAAGTGTACTCCGTCGCGACAGTACAGGTAGTCGTTGCCATAAAATCGTTGCCGTGTAATGAATGCCCAACCATTGTTTGCACAATGTTTTCCAGTCGGCAATTAATAGCTTATTGCCCTGGACAGCCATTCACGACCAACCCCTCTTCTAGGCAAGACACCACATACTATCAGGATCCCTCCCCTATCTCTAATCTTCCCCAGCGCCTCCCTATACCTCTTGAAAAGTTCCTCACTCCTAACCTTACCAATGTCGTTTCCTCCCACACTAAGACACACTACTGGATTGGTACCCTCCCCTGACAAAACTCTGTCTAACCTCTCGGCTACATGCCCTATTCCAGCCCCAGGAAAACATACCCTAGTCCTACGTTTCCTATCTCTCACACAAAAAGCCCTATCCATAAACCTCACCTGGCTGTCACCAACTACCACGACCTTACCTGTGGGCAGGGTTTGTACAACTGCCCTTTCCTCTCCTTGATCCATACTGTCCTGCCTCTTCTCTTCCTCTCCAGCTTCCTGCAGCACCTGGTAAGGGTTACTGCACTCCACACCCTGGTCAGCTTTCCTAAGCCTGACCCTAGTCCCCTTGGAGACAACCACTCTCCACGCCTGCTCCTCCTTCGCAGGTGTCCTGCTAGGCAGGACACCTACCTGAAGGAGTTCCGTCCTGAGGGCTTCATTTTCCCCCTTTAGAGTGTCAACCTCACTCATCAACTGCCCCAGCTGCCTTAACAGCGTGGCAAGGAGGTCGTCCTTCCCCACACTCCCCTCCTCTTCCCCCACGGCACAACGATCCAAAGCGGCCATTTTCCTTGGTCTCTAGCGGGAGCACGATCGGCACGACCTTCTCCAAGCTGATATGCTGATAACCACAAGGAAAGAAGAAAACACGAAGTTCCCAAGCGCTTTCGTGTAATTCACATCTTCAAATAGACATCATTCATACTACAAAAGGTCGCACCAATACAACCACTGCTTCCGCAGGTTGGCAGAGGCGGCAGGACTGTGGAAGATGCCAGAGACGCGGGTGGTGGTGGTGGGTGGGACGGCAGGAGTGAAGGACGTCCTCCTCCACCATAGTCTCCGTAACACCGTCCACGGCCTCTACCTGGCCCTCCACGACCTCCCCCTTCACACCCCACAGCGTTACGATAACTCACGCCTCAGGGAGATCCTAACACAGCAAGGTCAGCAGTACGTCTTTAAAACAATGACGTTTGCTGTGAACTTATGGGATGCACACCCTTATTTTTTCCTTCACTTAAGATAACTTGGTCGCCATCTTGCCGGAGACCATGTAGAGTCTTGTAGACATAGTAGTCTACCTTGGTCAAATATGTTTTCTCTTCAGATGAATATATACAAACACTTACCTCTCTCCTCCCCGGGTAGCATCAGTGAGTGAGCGTGCAACGACGGGAAGGCGGACGTTCAACTTATACACCAGTGGAACCTCACCTCTCTCCCCCAACACGCTGATAACCTTTTCTTTCATGGTGAAGTTTTTATCATTAATTGTGAAATTTCTTAATTCATTTGACTTAAAACCGACCTGCCCGAAGAATATGTTTAAATTAAATAGTGGAACAATTTTCAATGTTTATGTAGCATAACAAACTTTGAGAAATTCGACAAAATTGTGCAGGCACACATTTCCGTTATCCTTAAACCATATATTTTCTTATCATATATCTATTTCCTTATTCACTTTATCTCTATGTAGGAACTGTTTTCTCTCACTTTTTTCCAAGTTTAGAAGCTCCAAAGGTTGTTGGTAGCGAAAGTCATGCAGGGAAGATGACAGAGGAAGGAGCAGGAGGTTAGGAAGGGAATTGTAGTGGGAGAGATAGAGCCGTGGCTTTACACGACTGCGTTTATTTGGTTAGCGCATAGCGCACGTATTGGTGTTTTGTCTGTGTTGGGTGTGTGATCCTCGGGTCACCACTCCTCCGGATTGTGTCAGTTCAAGTTTAGAAGCTCCAACAACTTTCCCTGAATACGAATTCGCAACTTTTCGATTTACAACAAGTACCTACTTACTGCTAGGTGAACAGGGACTAATGGGGGCTAGGAAGAGTGCCCAAACAACTTCCGCCGGCCCGGGAATCGAACCCGTGACATCTTGCTTGAGAGGCAAGAACGGTACCGCTCTACTCACTTGTACAGTGATGTGAGCCAAGGGTGAAGTTTATATTTACACGATGAGACTGAAGTAACTTGAGATGAGTAAATGGTGGATCGTTTATCGTAAAACAATGAAAATATATATTGTAGATAGTTGGTCATGTTACATTTTTTTTAAGAACTTAACATAGTTTGATCGTATCTTTTAATTTGTGTAATGAAGTTAATGCTGACTGAGTTACTGCTTAAGTTGCCTCATTAGCAGTGTCGTCCATATTTTCCCTGGCTCGATTTATGCGACCATTTCAATATGTTGTATATTTTCATCCCGTTTCCTAAGTTAGTACTGCTTCAGTAATCCTGGCTTTGTATTACTAAGCGAATTTCTATTTCTAAGAATGAAGTCTGTTTCAACAAAGGACATACACAATTTACAATTCCACTTTCAGATTAGGTTTTATATGCTCTGGTATTCCTAGAAGTTATATTATAGTAGTAACTTAATCACGGGGTCCCTATAGAAATATTGAAAGAATAATGCTATTTTCAACAGAACAGTTTCATAACTTCATGGGACACAAGATGCAGTTCTCAACAGTACCATACTTCCCCTACATGGACTATACTCGACACAGTGAAGAGCCGGGCACAATAGTCACAGTCAAAGACTCTCTTGACGCCAGACTACTCTCTACCTTCTCCACAAAGCTTAATATAAGGTAATTTTTTGGTTGATGAACCTTTCCTGTACGTATGTAGTAATCACGAATTTCAAGATTTTCGATAATCAAAACACTAATTACAGATAAATAATAAGATATTGGGGAGTTATAGAATTTATATTTATCAAGAATTGTCGATTTGTTTTGCCTGTTTGACGTTTTCCACATGACAATGCAAGCCCCTCTTCCACAGTCACATAGGAAACACACGAGTGTGTTAATAAATGCTAATAAAGTCTATATGCCGTTGTGAGTGCAGGAGAAATTGGAGACATACAGTTGGAGAGAATAATTATAATCCTTTATCCTTTCCATTACCTACTAATTATGTTCTGTATGCCTCCTTATTTAACTGTGGCATCTTTAATAAGCAGCGTAGTTTTATATCCCACTTACATTACCCTATGACTTTTATGGGCATAATTTGTCAAAAATTAATATAGTATGCCGGAAAGGGTTTAGTGAAGCAACCGCAACCCCTTACAAATACGCGAGGTACAAAGATGAGATCTTACTCTACCCTAGTTCTAAATATTTTCACCAATAATACTCTGGGATACGTACATAACAAAAGGTCTACGAGTGCCACTATAAAGGCAGTAGGTAGTAGGCAGCTACCAAACTACCGCCTGGGAAGATATTGGAAGCATAATGTGTTGTCTAATGGTAGACCCTGTTGCTATATGGCATCACAAAAATTGTGACCAAGTCCCAGGTTGCTAATCTGACTTTCTGCCTCATTTACACACAATCGCAGGGTCTCAATTGTTTCTCTTACTCTTGACAACACAACATACATACTGTATATCGTTTCTCACTCTTGATTGATTTTTTCGTTTTTGTATTTATTTATGGTTATTATTATTATTATTTGTATATTTTTTTTATAATTTTTATCTATTTTTATTTATTATTATTATTATTATTATTATTATTATTATTATTATTATTATTATTATTATTATTATTATTATTATTATTATTATTATTATTATTATTATTATTATTATTATTATTATTATTATTATTATTATTATTATTATTATTATTATTATTATTATATTTTCTCCCCCAGGCCCAGATGCGGGTCAGTTCTGTGCTCAGGTGAGCTAATCCCCTAAAAAATAAAAATAAATCAGAATGTAGAGATTTGCGATAAAAATAAAGGTAAAAAAGTGTTCAAAACACAACAAAACATGGGAAAACAATTTTGTCCCTAACCTAACCTAACCTGACGGGGGGCGCTCCACAGTCGTTGATGTATACTGTTCAGGGTGTGTACTGCTACGTTGTTCGATGCTCAGGGTGTATAGCGCCACGTACGAACATACATAATATTTCGCTTAAACGTAATTCGCGCCGGAAATACCAGTGAAGAAAAGTGTCTTAGAATTTTCAAAATTATTAATTGCAACTATAAAATTCACAAGATTTGTTTAGTGGCAACAAGTGAAAAGATACCCTTTACCTTTTGATCGTATCGCAGATGTTAAAAGTAGTCGTTTTACACTATCAGATGTTAGGGCCACAACACAACTGAACTCGACTGTTCTTGTAGATTTGCACTCGAACGATATAAAGCCAGAATTAGTTAGCTTTAAATCTACAGACACAAAATAAGTAAAGGATACTTTACCTTGAGTATGGTGAACATTCTCGATTGTAGGGATGGTAATAATTCACTACATCATGGCTTCGGAAGTCTTGATTGGAGATATTCTATCTTCTATGGGTCCATACACAGTTTAAATAATACCGATGTATTTATTGGTTGTCTGAAGTCCATGGACCACCGATAATTAAGAGAGGTAACCGGCGCGTCTGACTGCATTGGTGGGTGACAGGCGTTCTCTTCATTGTCCGTCACGTGGGTTGTTAGCGCGCGAAAAAAACTAATTGTCATATGATTTTCTCCTGAACTACTATAATTATTTATATTTGGTAATTTTACTAATTTACTATGAGGTAGTTTTATTCTAACTTTCGGTAAATAAACAAATCTTAGTTTCGAAGATAGATTTCCTCACATGACTCCCAATCGCAGATTCTGAAGGAACTAGTAACTCAAGTGGATCGTTCAAATTCACTTCCTTTGCAAACTCCTCCGAGCTAATATGTATTGTACATAATCATTTCAGCTACTTATAATAATCTAGTACTTTGTGTAAAGAATATTTAATTGATCTTACATAACTATATATTTACATTTTGTCGTGCTCCTTTTCACGATATAATTACCCATTTAACTATACCTTAAACATTAATATCACTTAACAGCTTTGAGATTCGTGAGCAGCCTGAACGTTCCTGGGGCCTACAAAAGGACGGCAGGTTTAGCGGGATGGTGGGTCAACTCCAGCGAGAAGAAATAGACGTATCTGGACCTATGGCTACATTAGCAGAGCGCATCAGAGTCATGGAGTTCCTCTCTGCGTATAAGGTTGACGTGATGAGCATAGTTTCTCTTAAGCCCACTCCCCTTCCTCAACACCTCTCGCTGATAAGACCCTTTGCAGGTGGGTTTTATATTTCGAATTCGTACTCAGGTTGTGAAAGTAATTGTCTTATCAAAACTGTTAAATGATAGAAAATACAGTTTAATCTATGTCTAAGCCTTGTGTTCTAAATTGTCCAGAAAGATTTACCAAAGCAATCCAAGCCCTTAAGAAAAATAAGGATTTACATGTTAATAAAGCAGATAAAGCCAACACAGTAGTGATTTTAAACAAAGATGATTATGTTTCTAAAATGAATGACCTTTTATGTGATGTTGCAACATATTCTAAGCTCATAAATAATCCTCTCAACACCGTTAACACCCAGTTCAACAAAAAACTTAAGTCTCTGTTGAGAGGTAAAGATAATCTCATTAAACAGTTTTCTTCAACGTCCCCTCCACTGCCATACATGTACGGTCTTATCAAGACCCACAAGCCTAATAACCCAGCAAGACCCATCATCAGCTCAGTTGGGTCAATCTCTTATAAGTTGTCTAAATGGTTAGTTTCTTTACTAATCCCCTAGTTGGCAACATTTCTGGCTCTAATATTAAGAATAATATGGATCTGGTTGATAAACTCAATAACTTACACATTAATTATTATTTTAAACTGGTCAGTTTTGATGTAACATCACTCTTTACAAAGGTCCCAGTTGATGATTTACTGGAGTTCCTCATAGATTCTCTTGCCCGTCACAAACAATGTCTTCATTGAACTTTTCAAACTATGTGTTAAGGATTGTAAATTTGAATTCAATGGAGAATATTATGCTAAAAAAGTTGATATGGCAATGGGTAATCCGCTTTCACCAGTATTAAGCAACTTATATATGGAATTTTTTGAGAAGAAACTACTCAGTAATATTTTACCACCTTAAGCAGCTTGGTTTAGATATGTAGATGGTGTAATATGTCTTTGGCCATGTAATGAGGACCTAAAAGCCTTTCTACCACTACTTAACAACTTAGCCTCTCGATCAAATTCACTGTGGAATTATAAAGTGAGTGTAAATTGTCGGCACCACATAGTAGGTAACACATTTAAATTCAGCATTTATAGGAAACCTACCTACATGTGTTCCTATATTCATTATTATTATGCCCACCATAATACAGTCAAGCAGTCAGTATTTTTTTTTCAATATATACATGAAATGTAGCTTTTACAAATATCTGAAAAACGAAATTACAGTATTTTGTAAATTTTACGTGCAAATTTAGTTTGGCAGCCTTGAATGCCGGTATTTTAGCAGTGAGAGACCGTACTGGTGGTGAGGGAAAGATGAGAGACCATATTGGAAGTGAGGGAAAGATGAAAGACCGTACTGGTGGTGAGGGAAAGATGAGAGACCGTACTGGTGGTGAGGGAAAGATGAGAGACCGTACTGGTGGTGAGGGAAAGATGAGAGACCGTACTGGTGGTGAGGGAAAGATGAGAGACCATACTGGTGGTGAGGGAAAGATGAGAGACCGAATTGGAGGTGAGGAAAAAATGAGAGACCGTACTGGTGGTGAGGAAAGATGAGAGACCGTATGGTGGTGAGGGAAAGATGGGAGACCGTACTGGTGAGGGAAAGATGAGAGAGACCGTATTGGAAGTGAGGGAAAGATGAAAGACCGTACTGGTGTGAGGAGTGAGAGACCGTACTGGTGGTGAGGGAAAGATGAGAGACCTGCTGGTGGTGAGGAAAGATGAGAGACCGTAATGGTGGTGAGGAAAGATGAGAGACCGTACTGGTGGTGAGGGAAAGATGAGAGACCGTACTGGTGATGAGGGAAAGATGAGGACGTACTGGTGGTGAGGAAAGATGAGAGACCGTATTGGTAGTGAGGAAAGATGAGAGACCGAACTGGTGGTGAGGAAAGATGAGAACCGAGAACTAGTGGTGAAAGATGAAAGACCTTACTGGTGGAAAAGATGAGAGACCGTAGTGGTGGTGAGAAAGATGAGAGACCGAACTGGTGGTGAGGAAAGATGAGGCCGAACTGGTGGTGAGGAAAGATGAGACCGTTACTGGTAGTGAGGAAAGATGAGAGGCCGAACTGGTGGTGAGAGAAAGATGAGACAGTACTGGTGGTGAGGGAAAGATGAGAGCCGTACTGGTGGTGAGGGAAGATGAGAGCCGTACTGGTGGTGAGGGAAAGATGAGAGACCGTACTGGTGGTGAGGAAAGATGAGGAGACTACTGGTGGTGAGGAAAGATGAGACCGTACTGGTGGTGAGGGAAAGATGAGAGACCGTACTGGTGGTGAGAAGATGAGAGACCGTACTGGTGGTGAGGGAAAGATGAGAGACCGTACTGGTGGTGAGGAAAGATGAGAGACGTACTGGTGGTGAGGAAAGATGAGACCGTACTGGTGGTGGTGAAGATGAGAGACCGTACTGGTGGTGAGGGAAAGATGAGACCGTACTGGTAGTGAGGGAAAGATGAGAGAGAACTGGTGGTGAGGAAAGATGAAAGTACTGGTGGTGAAGGAAAAATGAGACCGTACTAGTAGTGAGGGAAAGATGAGAGACGTACTGGTGGTGAGGGAAAGATGAGAGACCGTACTGGTGGTGAGGGAAAAGATGAGAGACCGTACTGGTGGTGAGGGAAAGATGAGAGACCGTACTGGTGAGGAAGATGAGAGACCAGGGTGGTGAGAAAGATGAGAGACCGTACTGGTGGTGAGGAAGATGAGAGACCGAACTGGTGGTGAGGAAGATGAGAGACTGAACTGGTGGTGAGGGAAAGATGAGACCGTACTGGTAGTGAGGGAAAGATGAGAGCCCGTACTGGTGGTGAGGGAAAGTGAGAGCTGAACTGGTGGTGAGGAAGATGAGAGACCGTTACTGGTGGTGAGGAAGATGAGAGACCGTACTGATGGTGAGGGAAAGATGAGAGACCGTACTGCTGGTGAGGAAAAATGAGACCGTACTGGTAGTGAGGAAAGAGTGAGAGACCGAACTGGTGGTGAGGAAGATGAGAGACCGTACTGGTGGTGAGGAAAGATGAGAGACCGTATTGGTGGTGAGAGGAAAGATGAGAGACCGTACTGGTGGTGAGGAAAGATGAGAGACCGTATTGGTAGTGAGGGAAGATGAGAGACCGTGTTGGTGGTGAGGAAAGTTGAGAGACCGTACTGGTGGTGAGGAAAGATGAAAGACCGTACTGGTGGTGAGGAAAGATGAGAAACCGTACTGATGGTGAGGGAAAGATGAGAGACCGTACTGGTGGTGAGGGAAAGATGAGAGACCGTACTGATGGTGAGGAAAGATGAGAGACCGTACTGGTGATGAGGAAGATGAGAGACCGTACTGGTGGTGAGGAAAGATGAGAGACCGTATTGGTGAAAGGAAGATGAGAGACCGTACTGGTGATGAGGAAAAGATGAGAAACCGTACTGATGGTGAGGAGATGAAGACCATTACTGGTGGTGAGGAAAGATGAAGACCGTACTGATGGTGAGGAAAGATGAGAGACCGTACTGGTGGTGAGGGAAAGATGAGACCAGGTGGAGGTGAGAAAAATGAGAGACCGTACTGGTGGTGAGGAAGATGAGAGACCGTACTGGTGGTGAGGGAAAGATGAGAGACCGAATTGGAGGTGAGGAAAAATGAGAACCGTACTGGTGGTGAGGGAAAGATGAGAGACCGTACTGGTGGTGAGGAAAGATGGGAGACCGTACTGGTGGTGAGGGAAGATGAGAGACCGTACTGGTGGTGAGGAAGATGAGACCGAACTGGAGGTGAGGAAGAAATGAGAGACCGTACTGGTGGTGGGGAAAATGAGAGACCGTACTGGTGGTGAGGAAGATGGGAGACCATACTGGTGGTGAGGGAAGATGAGGGACCGTATTGGTAGTGAGGGAAAGATGAGAGACCAGACTGGTGGTGAAGATGAGACCGAACTAGTGGTGAGGAAAGATGAAAGACCTTACTGGTGGTGAAGGAAAGATGAGAGACCGTAGTGGTGGTGAGGGAAAGATGAGAGACCGAACTGGTGGTGAGGAAAGATGAGAGACCGGAACTGGTGGTGAGGAAAGATGGAGACCGTACTGGTAGTGAGGAAAGATGAGAGGCCGAACTGGTGGTGAGAGAAAGATGAGAGACCATGCTGGTGGTGGGGAAGATGAGACCGTACTGGTGGTGAGGGAAGATGAGAGACCGTACTGGTGGTGAGGAAGATGAGAGCCGTACTGGTGGTGAGGGAAGAAGATGAGACAGTACTGGTGATGAGGCAAAGATGAGTGACCGTACTGGTGGTGAGAGAAAGATGAGCGACCGTACTGGTGGTGAGGGAAAGATGAGAGACCGTACTGGTGGTGAGGGAAAGATGAGAGACCGTACTGGTGGTGAGAGAAAGATGAGAGACCGTACTGGTGGTGAGGGAAAGATGAGAGACCGTACTGGTGGTGAGGGAAAGATGAGAGACCGTACTGGTGGTGAGAGAAAGATGAGAGACCGTACTGGTGGTGAGGGAAAGATGAGAGACTGCATTGGGTAGTGAGAGGAAGATGAGAGACCGAACTGGTGGTGAGGGAAAGATGAGAAACCGTACTGGTGGTGAGGGAAAGATGAGAGACCGTACTGGTGGTGAGGGAAAGATGAGAGACCGTACTGGTGGTGAGGGAAAATGAGAGACCGTACTGGTGGTGAGGGAAAGATGAGAGACCATACTGGTGGTGAGGGAAAGATGAGAGACCGTACTGGTGGTGAGAGACAGATGAGAGACCGTATTGGTGGTGAGGGAAAGGTGAGAGACCGTACTGGTGGTGAGGGAAAGATGAGAGACCGAACTGGTGGTGAGGGAAAGATGAGAGACCCATACTGGTGGTGAGGGAAAGAGTTATTAATACTCATACATAAGTCCTCTAGGTTACGTTCGGTGTCCGTAAGATAGGTCGGGAAGGTCACAATAAAATGTATTTAATGTCTCAGACGGCTTGTCTGTGAAGCCTTGAGGTGGTTGATTAGCGAAATTGAACCATAGATGGTTCCCCATTATACTTTGTATCTTACACACCTTAAGACATGGGTTCTTAGCCTGTTTTTGCCATTTATCCCATAATGTTGGCATGAGCAGTCATTTACCCCCATGCACTCCATAAAAAACATCCCCATGGCATAGGAGTAATAAGCTATTATTTAAGGAAATAGACTAGAGTAGACATTGTAAATTACCTGAGTAGCAGGGTGGGAAACGCTTTCAATGAGGTTATCATACAGAAGGGTGAAAATTATAGCTAAAAATTATCCTTTATTTGTCTTTTGTCAATACAGTCTTTTGCCGATGAAGGAGTTAAAATTGCATTATTTTAGACTTGGCTTATTTACCCCCTAGCAATGTTTTTTTTTTAACCCTTTGGGATATACTTACCCCAGGTTAAGAACCGCTGCCTTAAGAGCTTCTGTGTAGAGGTAGCAACAGATTCCGCTACCAAATCCTTTGTTGCTGCGAAGTAGAGTAGGATAATCGTCTAGGAAATTCTGTCTAAGAGTCTACGAGGATATCAAATTAATCTCTGAAGCCATAACAGCACATTACCTCACTACTAATCCAGGAGAACTGTGGCTAGCGCTGCTGGTGAGTGTCTTTGCCTGGGGAGTGACTTTATGGATGCTGCAAGAGGCTTGGTGTTGGGTGTCGGGAGGGAGTGGTGTGAAGATTGACACCGCACTCCTTTACGGTTGGGGGGCGCTTCTCGAGCAGCCACCACCCGAGCCCTCCATCAATATCTCAGGCCAGGTAGATGTTTTGTGTGAGTTTCTGGTGATTTAGCGTCTGCTGATATGCCATACATTTCCCTGTGACTCAATGGTAACTTTTTAAAAAAAAATACTGAAAATTTTATTAGATTTGAAACTTTTTTCACATAATTATACTCTGTAAAAAGACGAACACCTTCCTAACCATTTTCATAATGTACTAGATATATGATACCCAATACATTTGGTTTTGTTATGTAATTTAAATTCGGAAAGAATACGTTATGGAAAATAACTGAATCCCCTTAATGTGCAGAATTCTTTGAACTTGGAACAGCACAAACGACAGAATAACACTGGCTAAGGTGTGTGATGGTTGCCTTTATATTTACACGAATTGTCTGGTGGATGTTTTTTTGTCCGTCATCTTTACTTAATTTCCACAGGTGTTGGTAGGATGGTGGCTGGTGTTCTGTCTGGTCATCACCACAGGGTTTCGTTCGTCACTAATTGCACACCTGACAGTCCAGGGGAAGTCCCAACCTCCTGAAAACTTCGAGGATTTGCTGGCTCGGAATAACTGGAAGTGGGGTATTGAACCCTGGATATTAAAGGGCGGAGTCCTGCTGTATTTCCTGAGGCACACTGACCCAATAGTGAAACAAATATATAAGGAAATGGAGGTCAGTATACAGAGGATTATTTTTACATAAAATAAATGAAATTCCATGTGGCGGAAAAGTTCATTGTATATAGATGACTATTCTTAGACTCACTCTCACATATCTAAAAATGTATACTAGCAGATGCCTGATTCCAGCTCGTAAGTATACTCAGATTTTCTCATTAACTTGTCAAATCATCTGATGTAACTTATACTCACTGTATTTTTAACACAAACATAACACATTTTATAGCATTTAATATCTTAGAGTAAGGTAACTTACCAAATCCACGTCCACTAGACACTAACAGCGAAAGAGGCGCTTCAGAAGGTGAAGGCGGGGGATTACTCATTTCTTACTATCAATTTCCACATAAAAGTCGAAATTGCTTCCTACTACACTGACAACTTCGGCCAATCACCTTTCTACATAAGCAAAAATGGGCTTGTCCTAATTGCTGCTTTTGGATGGGGATTCAGGTACGGATATGGCTCCTTTTTATGTTTAATGCGATAATTTGCATAATAATCTGTAAAATGAAATGTATTATTCAAGATGTTTGGTATTTCTTCTTTCTTCCTACTACAGATTATTTCCTGGCCGTCAACTACGAGGGTTTTTACGGCCTTACTGATGTTTCTTATTTGTCTCACGTAGGAAAGGCGCTCCGTTCTATCAGCGCTTCAGACAGCTCGTGTTACAGCTAGAAGATTGTGGTATTATACCTTACTGGACAGAAGAGTTACAAGCTCAGCGAGTGAAGGAGAACAGAGCAGCTGCAGCAATGGAGACTCGGGCAGCTGTTGGAAATACTCTGCCGGTGAGCATCTCCACAGTACTGCTCTTTCCTTTGTCTGCATATCATTGCCAAATTTTGGATAATAATTTTTCAGCTATTATGATAGATATAATAGGTGCCACTTATTAAGTATGTACAGCGCGGTCAGCAGGAGGAGGAGTTGACAGATAAAGAAAATATTATCAGAGCTATCACAGTAGGGGAAGAACTAGGTAATAGTGATAACAGAGAAATCTGGTCCACCCTAAATTGGAAAACGAAAAACAATGACTTTTGGTTGGCGGATTATCAGGGGTTAAGAAGGTACCTAAGTGAGGTCAACTGGAAACAGTCAGGTCAGTCCCCAGTAGGAAGGGGTGAGGTCATAGATGACACAACAATTGATCATGGCTATATTATATTCACTAGTATACTACATAAAGCACAAGAACAAAATATACCATACAGAAAAATTAGGTCAAATAAGAATGAGCCAAGGTAGATGACCAGAAAACTTAAATATGACATAGGAATAAAGAAAGGAATTTATAAGAAATTAAAGGGAGGGGAGGAGCAGCTCAGAAATAGGTATAATGAACGATCTAGGAATGCTAAGAAAAATGTAAGGAAAGCAAAGAGAGACTATGAAATCAGAATAGTAAGTGAATCCAAGGCGAATCCCAAGGGATTTTTCCAGGTATATAGAACAAAGGTCAAAGACAAAGTTGGGCCTTTAAAGTCAGGGAGGGGGAAAGTGATCAATGGCTGTGAGGAAAAAAGCAAAGCATTGAACAGCTACATTTTAACAGTTTTCACAGAAGAAATTCTCGAGGAAATTCCAGAGGTGGAACTGATATTTAAGGGACAGGAAGAAGAGAAATTAAAGAATATCACTATCAGAAAAGAGGATGTTCTTAAGAGGATAAATAAATTAAAGAAGACAAAATCCCCAGGGCCGGATGAAACTTTCCCTCGAGTCTTGAAAGAGTGTAAGGAGCAGATTAGCGGACCAATCGTAAATTTACTTACAAAATCATTAGACACGGGAGTTGTGCCAGACTTGTGGAAACTAGCAAATGTAGTACCCATATTCAAAAAGGGAGACAGAGCATTAGCGTCAAATTACTGGCCGATCAGTTTGACGTCAGTAGTGGGGAAATTTCTTGAATCAATTATAGCAGATAGCATCCGATCGCATTTAGAGAAAAGCAAATTATTCTACGACTCTCAACATGGGTTTACAAAGGGAAAATCTTGTCTAACAAATCTGCTGACTTTTTAGGAAAGTCTTCGAGGTAGTAGATAATGACGAAAATTACGATGTTATTTACTTAGACTTTAGCAAAGCATTTGACAGAGTACAGCATCAGAGGCTTCTGAGAAAAGTTAAAGCTCATGGTATCGAGAGGAAAGTTTTAAATTGGATAAAATCATGGCTCACGGATAGAACACAGAGGGTCAGCGTAGATGGTGTTAAATCTGAGTGGGGCTGTGTAACCAGTGGGGTTCCCCAGGGGTCAGTACTAGGCCCACTCTTGTTCATAATCTACATAAACCATCTAGATACTGGGATCAGCAGTGACATAAGCAAGTTTGCGGATGACACCAAAATAAGGCGGCAGATTAATTCAGGGCAGGATGCAAATGCACTACAGGAGGATTTAAATAAACTGCAGGTGTGGTCTGAAAAATGGCAAATGAAATTCAACACCAGCAAGTGCAGCGTACTTAATATTGGAAGAACAAGTACTGTCAATGTATACAGCCTTAACAACATCAACCTAGAGAAGTCGACTTGTGAAAGAGACTTAGGGGCACTTGTAAGCCCGGACCTACGGCCTTTAAAACAGTGAGTTAATGTTCGAAATAAGGCAAACAGAGTATTAGGTTTTATATCTAGAAGTGTAAGTAATAAGAGTAGAGTGTCTTATTGCAACTATATCTTGCGCCATTGTGCCGCACCTCGATTGAGTGCCGTTCAGTTCTAGTGCCCTTTTATAGAATGGATACTGTTCTACCGGAGTCGGTGCAGCGGAAGAATGACGAAAATGTGATTCTGACTTTAAACCATCATATCAAGATAGGTTGAAGAAAACTAAACTTGCATTCCTAGAAAGACGAAGAGTGCGGGAGATATGATAGAAGTTACTAAAGTGGGGCGAAAGGAATCAATAAAGGGGATATAGATAAATTTTATAATATCCGCCGAGCAGGAGAGTGACTCCGGAGCAACGGATTTAAGTTGATAAGCTTAGGCTTAGGAGTGAGATAGGAAGGAACTGGCTCACAAATTGGGCGGTGGACGAGTGGAACAAGCTTAGCAACTTTGTAGTAAGTGCTGGAACGCTGAAAAGTTTTAAAAGGAGGCTAGATAGATTTATGGATGATAGAGAGTGGTAGTAACTCTCGACAGGAGCTGCCATGCACTGGCCAACCGGCCTAGTGCAGACTCCTTATTTTCTTATGTTCTTATGTTCTTATATGCTTTAAATAGCTAGTTATTTGAGAATTATGATCGTAGATTGCCCAAGAATACATTTTTTGTATATAACTTAATTAGTAGCAATGTGTAAAATTTTTGAAAATAATTTATATGATTATTCGTAGTATTGATGTTAATGATAATTTTTCATGCTCAATGATAGTCATTATTAAGAATTTAAAGCATTAAATCTGAAGCTGCAAGAAAGCATTGCATAAAATGTGCTGAAAAAACTTTATAATGAATGTGTCAGTGAGCATGAATGAGCATGTTAGAAATAAGAATTATATTAAAAGGATTAATAATAACATTGATGTTTGTCATGATCCGTTGTAGCATTATATCTTATGTCACTACCTAGTATATAGAAGTTCATTGAAGCTTTGAATAAAGAGGCCTCATTGTCTCAAAAGAAAAATAAGCAGAATTTGGTCGAGGTGACAACACAAAAACTAGAAGAAAGATGTAGACTTGAATTCCCTTGAATCAATTGAATTCCTGAAAGCCATGTCTCACAATGCTCATAAACTCCAGACGTGATATTTATGTTCTTATAACTCTTGTGAGTTATTTTATACTTCTTATAACTTACTTTATACTGATATTAATTGTTTGACAATAAAGACAGAACATTAAAAACTCCAGCGGAGGTTTGGCAATCTGACACAATATGGACCTTAAGCCTTTATGGTGACTCACTCCTACCCGTTACCTAGTGACAACTTGATCGGTGACTGCCAGGTGGTGAGCAGGTCAGGAGATGGGCAGTGTGGGGTGGGAAGCAGGTCAGGAGATGGGCAGTGTGGGGTGGTGAGCAGATCAGGAGATGGGCAGTGTGGGGTGGGAAGCAGGTCAGGAGATGAGCAGTGTGGGGTGGGAAGCAGGTCAGGAGATGGGCAGTGTGGGGTGGTGAGCAGGTCAGGAGACAGGCAGTGTGGGGTGGTGAGCAGGTCAGGAGATGGGCAGTGTGGGGGTGGGAGCAGGTCAGGAGATGGGCAGTGTGGGGTGGTGAGCAAATCAGAGATGGGCAGGTGTGGGGTGGGAAGCAGGTCAGGAGATGGGCAGTGGGGTGGTGAGCAGATCAGGAGATGGGCAGTGTGGGGTGGGAAGCAGGTCAGGAGATGGGCAGTGTGGGGTGGTGAGCAGATCAGGAGATGGGCAGTGTGGGGTGGGGAAGCAGGTCAGGAGATGGGCAGTGTGGGGTGGTGAGCAGATCAGGAGATGGGCAGTGTGGGGTGGGAAGCAGGTCAGGAATGGGCAGTGTGGGGGTGGTGAGCAGGTCAGGAGATGGGCTGTGTGGGGTGGGAAGCAGGTCAGGAGATGGGCAGTGTGGGGTGGTGAGCAGGTCAGGAGATGGGCAGTGTGGGGTGGTGGGCAGGTCAGGAGGGCAGTGTGGGGTGGTGAGCAGATCAGGAGATGGGTGTGGGTGGTGAGCAGGTCAGGAGAAGGGCAGTGTGGGGTGGTGAGCAGATTGGAGATGGGCAGTGTGGGGTGGGAAGCAGGTCAGAGATGGGCAGTGTGCAGTGGTGAGCAGGTCAGGAGATGGGCAGTGTGGGGTGGTGAGCAGGCCAGGAGATGGGCAGTGTGGGTGGGTGAGCTGGTCAGGAAATGGGCAGTGTGGGGTGGTGAGCAGGCCAGGAGATGGGCAGTGTGGGGTGGTGAGCAGGTCAGGAAATGGACAGTGTGGTGGTGAGCAGGCCAGAGATGGGCAGTGTGGGGTGGTGAGCAGGTCAGAGATGGGCAGTTGGGGTGGTGAGCAGGTCAGGAGATGGGCAGTGTGGGGTGGTGAGCAGGTCAGGAAATGGGCAGTGTGGGGTGGTGATCAGGTCAGAAATGGGCAGTGTGGGGTGGTGGAGCAGGTCAGGAGATGGGCAGTGTGGGGTGGTGATCAGGTCAGGAGATGGGCAGTGGGGTGGTGATCAGGTCAGGAGATGGGCAGTGTGGGGTGTGAGTAGGGGGTCAGGAGATGGGCAGTGTGGGGTGGTGAGTGGGTCAGGAGATGGGCAGTGTGGGGTGGTGAGCAGGTCAGGAAATGGGGAGTGTGGGGTGGTGAGCAGGTCAGGAGATGGGCACTGTGGGGTGGTGAGCAGGTCAGGGTGGGCAGTGTGGGGTGGTGAGCAGGTCAGGAGATGGGCGTGGGGTGGTGATCAGGTCAGGAGATGGGCAGTGTGGGGTGGTAGTGGGTCAGGAGATGGGCAGTGTGGGGTGGTGAGCAGGTCAGGAAATGGGCAGTGTGTGGTGGTGAGCAGGTCAGGAGATGGGCAGTGTGGGGGGTGAGCAGGTCAGAGATGGGCAGTGTGGGGGTGGTGAGCAGGTCAGGAGATGGGCAGTGTGGGGGGGTGATGAGTGGGTCAGGAGATGGGCAGTGTGGGGTGGTGAGCAGGTCAGGAAATGGGCAGTGTGGGGTGGTGATCAGGTCAGGATGGGCAGTGTGGGGTGAGTAGGGTCAGGAGATGGGCTGTGGTGGTGGTCAGGTGGGCAGTGTGGGAGGTCAGGAAATGGGCAGTGTGGGGTGTGGTGAGCAGGTCAGGAAATGGGCAGTGTGGGGTGGTGGGCAGGT